CCCCGATAGGCCCCTGCAGCCCCGGCTGCCAGCACCTGGGCACCAACACCCAAAACAACTCCGTACTTTCTGTTTTCTTTGAGTAAATACTTGAATTATTCGGTCGACAGCCATGCCATCCTCTTTTGGATTAGGCAGGTAGAGTACTCCAGAGAATCTGGCTGGTCTTAAACAACAAGTAAGTTACTGAAGGCAGTTGACAGGTATTTTAGCTGGAAGTCAAGATGGTGGGTGACAAAGGATCAGAGTGGTATTTTGAAAACCAATGGCTTGGAATGGATTAATGGATCATAAGCTGGAGGAGGGTTAAGAGGGGTCAGTAAAGCGTAAGGTCAAGAGTGAATAGGACAAGGAGGAGACAAAAGTCTGTAGGAAATCAAGGCTTTCTGCTCCTGCTGCCCCTGAGTCGGGAAATGTGAGCCATGAAGCCGCCTTTGGCAGAGGCAGCAACAGCAGCTGCTCAGGCTAACCCAAGCCTATCCCCATCCTCGCTGACGCCAGAGGCGGAATATGCAGGACATATTTCTGTGTATTATTGAGACTCATGACATAATATGGTATTGCTTGAAAAGTTCATCGTGATTTGGTCCTGACATTCAGTGCTGATAAATTCAGTAAATATCAGACTGAGCAATGCTATCACCGATACCGTACATGGTGGAACATGCAAAAGATGCAGCATTTCCATAACAAATTTTGCTCCTAACTATTTCCATTATGAGGCTTTTACAAAATTAAAGCTACATATTTGCCTCTAAGGAAAGTGTATTTGTTCGTTGCATCCCAAAATAGCTCAGTTTTCAACTGAGTTACGGATAAATATTTTAGATTTGTGCATAGACCACATTGAAAACATAGCCTGAAAAGGGAAAACATTGTAAAGCCATGATTATCTGAAAGTAATCACAGTGAAATAAAGTATATATCTTCAACTCAGGCAACAACCATCACAGGTTTGTAGTATTAGAAGCATGGCAGAAATCTCTAATCTGAAACAACAGGCACTACTGTGTCTATGCTTGTAAACATACAATATCCAAAGAACATCTGATAGACAGCAATAGAGGTTTGGTCATGACTCATTAGAGCTTGTTCCTCAAATCTGCTAAGGCATGAATCTTCTTGTTTGTCAAATAGAATTGATCATTTTCAATTAACTTTTGAAATATGATTTTAACTGTAATTCCAAAATATAGTATGCCTAGCTACCAGGGAAAAGCAGACATGGAACAAACTAATCGTTGAGGCACATGAAGACTCTCTTGCACTTATTTCTAGATCTTGGTAATTGAGATAATACTGGGTAATCATCACTAATAAAAATGGATGAGTGGAATTATCCTGATTTAATTAGCTAGTGATCTGGCTTGTGCATGTTTACGGCCTTTATCCAATTTGCTAGCAAAGGTTAGTATCTTCTGATATTAGTTACGGTATCAAAGAAAACACACAGCCCAGACTGTCTGATGTTTCTTGCAAGTGGTTGACTAAGAGTATGAAGTCCTTTTCCAAATGTGAGGCCTAATGAGTTTTGACTAGGCTTATGTACAGCACAAAATTCATCCTTCATTATGGATAAAAAAAGTAATTTAAAAGCTCTCTCTCTTGTTTGCTTCGGTTTTGAAAATCTATTTGTGCAAACAAATATCAAATTCTGAGCTGCACAATTTAGTATTCTGCATTTAGAGTCCATAATAATAAGCCTAGGTCATGTGATTTTTGTTTCTGCTTTTTTTCTAACTGGCTGAGAATTTAAAAACAGGACAATAATGAATCACAAATAGCAAATGGTCTTTTTACATCAAAGTGCCCTTCTTTACACACACGAATCTTTGGGCTGTTCCTCCAAGATAATTTTGAACTGAAATCTGTTCATACGTGTAATAGTAAGTAATAAGGGATAGCAAAAGAGCATAATCAACAGTCCAAAATGAATACTAGAGAATAGCCTGTATGGACTAACTCTGAGTTTCCTGGAAGAGGAAATACAGCACTTTTTTCCACAGTTTTCCTTCTTCTTTCTAATACCTTTTAATTTACACTTTCCTGGTACGCTTTTCCATGGCACATCTCATTTTTTGTGTGTGAAGAGAACTTCAGTAAATGATATTCATCTTTTCAGTCCTATGGGGGGAGGGAAAGATATACCAGTTTCCATTTTCAAATATTTTCTTTTTTTACCTGTGCCTGGAAGAAGACTCTGAATTTAGAAACTGAAGACATTGCTTGCAACTTGCAACTAGTAGAGCAGAATTGCATTTGCTGAGCTTGAGGAAGAAAGTTGAAACAAAACTAGCATCAGTTGTAGGAAAAATATATTCTTGATATGTTTGGTAACTGCAGGAATGAGTTTACATACTTGAGAAATGAGTAGGACACAGAAATGTCACCAAAAAGGGACTCGCAAGGGTATACTGACTAATCCTTAAGTTCTTTAAATTATTTTCTTATTTTATCTGATATTATGTTTACCTGGAATAAAAAAAAATAGACCCAAATTCAGTGAAACCATTAAGTACATACTTAAGATAACCACATGCTTAAATGTTCTTGATGTGTTCTTTACATCTGCAAGATTGATCCAAAGACTGTTGGGATTTGATTTAAGTTATAATAGCACAGAGTGAGCAGATATGACATGTATTAATTCTACTGATGACTGAAACCTGCAGAGCTGCAGTCCTAGCTCTTCCACATATTTCTGAACTGCAAAGGGAAATTATATAAATACAAGAGAATTCAATACACTTTGTATATCTGTTTTAAAGGTGCAAACCCTATTATACTAGTTATCAAAATTATTAGATCTCAATTTTTCCTGGGGAAGCAAAGGGAATAAAAGGCATCAGCTAACAGGGAATGGGGTTCTCAGTTTACCACCACCCTTCAGATGTGATAATAATTAACTGCTGTCACAGCATCCATAGTTCCATGGTAATATCTCCATCATCAGGGTCTTCAAATAAAAACTGATTACTTTATAAGCAGCCCACTGTTACTACTGTTTGGCAGAGACAGAGTTATAGGCTATATATAGAAATGGCCGTGTTTTATCAGAGGTCAGATTAGAGCTTCCAGCCTTAATAACTATACATTTCATAATACTTTCTGTAGAGATGATCAGGGAACATTACATGAAAATAATAATTTTGTATTAAATTATACAGCAATGTCTATAAAGTGTATCTTAAAAATGCATCCAGCTAAAGCAATATTATCAAGTTGAATGATTTGAGCTATTTTTAAACCCAATTTTAGATATCATTCCTTTTAATAGTGTGCCTTGAATATTTACTTGAAACATGCCCAAGTCCATAGAGAAGAACAAAAGCAACCGAGTTCAATTTATCCTTCTTCTCTTTTATCATGTTTCATGCCATCCACCTCTCCAAGATCATTTTGGTTGCTAGTAACAGGATTGGCGGACACCCTGCTGCATGGCTTATGGAAAGGGCATATGTCACCAGCAAACACAGAGCTGGAGTTTCATGAACTCAATTCAAGTGCATACGGAAAATAAACTTTTTCTTTATCCCTTTTGTTTCTTACTTGTTGCAGCACCTTCTTGTAACTGCCTGTTTTGCAAATATAATTTTCAAGTTGACAGTATCCTTCTAGTTTGGAATTCAGGGGATTTCTAGTATTTAGTTTTGAGTCTGTTGGTTCATTCCTTTCACCTTACTAAGATTAATGTGAAAATGTGAGTACAGATGAAATAGTTTCTTCAGCTGTGAAAAAGTCATAGAAGATTGCATCACTATAACAAAACAGAAAGCAGAATGAGAACTGTTACTTATGATTATTACACTGATTTAGTGCTAAACTTTGATCTAAAAGTAGTTTCTGTCCTATTCAGTAAATTCTATACAACAGGTTTTGCCAAGTAAACTTTTTCCCTCTATAAAGTTAAATCCCGGCAAATTTGTTACTTAAACAGCTTTTCTGATTGAAACAGATCCTTGTGCCTGTTAAGTGAATGATAAAATTTCACTTCACTGGGGCAGGACAAAGCATAAACTCCTGACATGCAAAGTGGTGTGTGGTTTAAAGTTAAGAGCTAAAAGCTGCTATGTATTTTTCTTACTTGGACAGCATTCTTTTGAAGTTGTCCTGGGATTTACAGACATGCTTTTGCTATTTCTTTTAAGTATGTTGACCAGTCTTTATACTTCTGTCAATCAACCCCAAATAATTCAACTAGAAACAATACATTAACTTGATAAGGACACCTGTTCAAGTCAGCTGGTTCTAGCAACATCCTGTCCATTTTATATTAATAGTTGTTTTTATCTCCTGTGCACATATTTAAGTCAATATTTATTAAATTAGTTTTGCAGATTATGACAGGGAGTTTACTTGTTTGCCACCTTGTCTTGATAATTGCATATTGATTTCTTCTTTATATTTAGGATATGATGCTTCAGCTGTTTCGGGGACTGGATTTTCTGCATTCACATCGTGTGGTGCATCGGGACCTGAAACCCCAAAATATCCTTGTAACCAGCAGCGGGCAGATAAAGTTAGCTGACTTTGGCCTTGCACGAATCTACAGTTTTCAGATGGCTCTTACCTCAGTGGTAAGTTTCTGGAGGCTTTTATTTTTCTTCTAATGCAGCAGTGTGCTTTACTCTCTATGTTCCTGGCTTTTTATCCCATATTATAATGCTGCTTCCAAAACCATCTCTGCAATTGAAGTTACTTGTGTCTCTGAAAACAATTGCTTTCCAGCCAGGATTGAAGTGTTGTGGTTACTTTGTACAAGTAATCAATTACTGATTACTGGTTCTAAATTAAATCATGACTGATTACTGAAGGATAGGTATGTGCTAGTTTTCTGAAACTCCGTCAGTCTAGCTTCTGTTGTGATACTGACTTCTTTTGCACATTAAGCCAGACAGGTAGGGTGAAAGTTTCTGAAGTTTTTGAGATAAAACTTTTAAGATAAAACTTGCTGATCCCCAGGTATCTTGCCTGAAAAAATGCAGATACTTGTGAAAATGCCACACTGTCATGCCTCTGATTTTCCACCTCTGTGAATATGGGTTTGATGCTTGCTCTCATATGTTACTGAATAATTCCAAATAGGGCTGCGCTGGAGGCAGCTCAAGTGGACCTGGCAGCCAAAATCACATCTATTTCCCAAGCCAGCTGATAAAGAGCACCTTCAGTATCTCTAGGCCCCCTGCCACTGTTGCCCCTCTCCCAGCAGCTCTCCTGGTTTTCCTTGGTTCAGACATGAGCTCACTCCCAGAAGGTCTGGCCCTCTCCTGCATTAATGCTGGTAGAGAAGCCCTGCCAGCTCCTCGCTTTTTGACCCCGTTTCCACACTTGCTGGCCCTGCCCCCAGAATCAGCTGCTGTTAGCTTGGCACAGCCTCTCTGAAGTGTATTGAAGAGTAACCGTGCTGCATGCATGTTGGGTGTCATTTGGTTTTGTCGCCTGCTCATTAATTTTTTTGTTTCCATTTTCTATTCTGAGTATCACAACTGCCATGGCAGTATCACTTACGCTAAAGACAGGAAAAGGAGAACTGCTGAGAAAAGAAACTGAAAGGAGTCCACTTTGCGTTTTACATCATATTGTAGAAATTAGCCTGGCTCACATTGATAAAAAGCAATCCATTGTTATTATTATTTAGTGTAGGAGTCTTCCCATCGTTGTGTGATGTGACTATGACATGCTGGGTTCCAGCTTCAGTGTGAATGAAGGCAGGAAGCAACAGAAAATGGTATCATCATCTTGTTAAACATAGGAAAGTATCCTCGTCGCATAAAGCATATGTAAACTTGTGTTTTGGCACTGGTTTTTTTCATTGCCTGTAGGATGTAGCCTAATCCAAAGCTGAAAGAATCTCTCTGCTGAGGTCAGTGAGGATTAATCAAGTTGTAACTCAAAACAGAGCTTTGAAGAAAAGGAGAGAAAGGTTGTTCCTGAATTGCTGTAATTTTTCATTTCCCAGTTATCAGTCAGTAACAGCTTCAATGAGTATTTCTACTGATCCATAAAATTCTTTAAGCTAAAATTGCAGAATGTTGTAAGGCTTCCAGCAGGGCGTTTTTTAAAAGTTCTGCATAAAATGAGGAAAAAATATCTACAGAACTGAGCAGGAGTTTGTCCATGATCATGTAGCCTGCGTAGGAAGGAAGGTCAAAAGACCCAGAAATAGAGTGCATCTACTGAGGCAAAAACGTACCAAGACCTGCTTGTAAGACAATATTGCCAGAATTGCTATGCGAAGGATGCACGTATGCTCAAGTATCTAATACTTGCGTGCTAGAAATCGTGTTTCAAAACCCGTTAGTTAGTACCCTTAGCGCTGCTGTGAACAAGAGTTGTTCAGACTAAGGGATTGTCCACATGCAAGCTTGCATTCACACAAGCATTCAATTGTCATTGCAGCTATGCTAAAGAGTATTAAAATAATTGAATTATTCAGTGACCAATGACAGATAAAGTATATGGGCATAGGTGTCAATAATGGCTTTCACACCTAGAACTTAGTGTATCATTATTTTCTTATTAAAAAAAAAACAGCTATGACCATGGCTTTTTTAAGTCAAAAATTTATTGGTTTTGAAACACTTAGTGTTTAACACCTTCAAAATCAACTTTTGCCTGGGTATGTAGAAACCTATAGGGGAGTGTTGCTTACAATGTGATAATGTGGTGTGGTTTTAAATGTCAGTCTTCATTGCTCCTTCAGACTGAGTGCTGGTTAGAAACTTCTACTAAATGTGTATTAGCTGACACAGGCCATCAGTTTTCCTTTTCTGAATGTAACTCTTACCTTTGGCTAGCTGCTTCGGTGTGCAAATTCTTTTTTTTTTTCCTCCATTAAAACTCAGTACAGGAAACAAAACTTTAAAAAAAAAACCTTCTGTTTTTTAAACATCAAGATATTCTTGACTTTACCGTTCCCAAAATAGTCTAAATTGCAGTTCTTCGCCAGGCAGTGAGTA